ATTTTATGTATTATATTTTACTGTTGATACATAATGTTTCTTGATGGATTTTGTGGGAATTACACTTTTATAAAAAGAGGCTTTTTCAAATATGGTTTTTCTTTGAAAATTATTTTGCAAGAGATTACTATTTTCAAACATAACAACCCCATCTTGGGTTGCATTAACCTAATATATTTGTGCTCATTTTTTATTAATGAACATATAGAGCCCTCTTGCATAAATAATTTATCAGTAGGATTTTTTCTGTTACATTATATAAGTATCTATCCTTTAAAGTACAGTTTAATCAGAATGGCCTCAGGACTAAAATTCTGGGTAATTAAAGGTTTGTCAGATGGTTTGATTTATCTTTATATCTTTTCACTGATTATTAAAGAACACCGACCTCCAAAATTAAAAGAATCAAAGATATACTGCCACATATTCTGTAAAATATAGCAACTAATAAAAGTTTAACTTATGCTTAAAGAGAAATCTTGGTTGGTTTATGTTTTCACATTGCTATACAAAGTTTAAGATGATGCTCTTGTTTGGCCTGTTCATTTAAGTATTTGTATTTTTTTAGCATATAGGTTAGTCTGTGACAATAACAGCATAACACTTTAAAAAAAAAAAAAAAGGTAGTTCAGAGTAGATGTGTTGGCTGCTCCCTGAGATCTTTAAGGGCCCACTAAGAAGTTGGTCACTTCTTTGTGCATTCTACTTTTTGAAGATACAGTCACTTTAAAATACACTTGTGTCTGTGTTTAGCTAAAAACCCTCTAAACTCAATGAATTGCTGACTTGAAATAATAAGACGGGAGGCACTAAAGAAAAATTATGAGTACTAGTATTTTATGCATATTTTCTGTGGCTGGTGCCTAAATGCTCTACATATCTCTCTATCTCCATGTATTTTTTTTCTATTTTAAATTTGATTCTTAAATTTATTTTAGTCTGTATTTAAAATACATATAATGTAAATACCACTGGTATGTGACATTTTGATATATATACATATTAAGTAATTTTTAAATCAGTTAAGTATATTCCAAGGATTCATGATGGTTGCATGGTGAAAACATTCAAAGTTCCAAAAGCAAGTGTTTTGACATACACAGGGTGTTGTGTTACTGTTATCTATAACCACCCTGCTGCGCAAGAGTAAACCAGAATTCCTCACGTTTACTTGTGACTTAATACTTGTTCAACAAACCTTTACCCTGCACTTCAACAATCCCCTTAAACTCGCATTTTCCAAACTAGCAAAGGAATCTCAAGCCAGAACTGTCACTCTTGCATTCCCTGTGTCATGAAGGGTCCCACAACCTAGTCATAAAGCTGGATCATTATGTGACCTCCTACCTCCTGTCACCCAGCCCTTCAGGGTTTCCTTTCTGGTGCTTGGCTTGAAATCATTCACTTTCTGTCATCTTCAAAGTTATGCTTTAATCAAAAATCTTATATTTCATCCATATTATTGCAAAAGTATCTCATTTAACCTTCCTAACTCTCTTCTTGATTTTTATCAAGAGGACTGCCATATTTTTAGCAAAGGAAACCATAGGAAATATAAATCTTTTGATGTCATTTTCCCGGGAAAATCATACAGATATGGACCCCAAATTAGCATGTTCAGCCTTTCGTCTGTCTTTACTATCTTGCACTCTGTAAAACACTTCCTCATTAGTGTAAGTTTCTTGTACAGATAAGATTTCCCCTCAGATTTTGAAATGTTTTCAACTTCATGCATGCAAAGAGGTGACTAACATTATGCTGCAATTTTGCAGTCATTTTCTTTCATGTATGATACAAATTACTGCTTTAGACTGCAGGCATTTTGAAGGATGAAATCCACTGCTTAGTTACTGTTGGTTTACACATTTATATGTAAAATGATGTTCCAGAAGCACAAAATTTTATGAACTGTGGAAAATTGTAGAATTGTAACATTTTGAAGAGCTTTAAAAGCCATCTAAACAAAACCTATAATAAGTACAGTGATTACAATTCAAACATTTAACTATGGCAGAATAAATGTATTGTTAAATGCAGCCATTCTGTATGGGAGATAGAATATCTCAAAATTTGAGTAATTGTTATCATTTTTGAAAAATTAAAATTCTCATAATATTTTTCCTCATTGTACTGAAGTGTGATTCTTCATGTATGACATACCTTAGTATCAGTTCAGGAAAATAACAAAGAACGTTCAGTGAAGCTTCTACACCACCATCTGAAACATGAAGTGACATAAAATATGACAAGACCTGATATCCTCAATTTTAATATAATGACTTTGAATCAACTGCTGTAATCTGTAAAAAAGAAAAAAAGTGCTGTAATTAAAGATTCAATATATATATATATATATTTCTTCAAACTTAAAATTGAATATTAAATTCAAATCAGCTGACCAAGTTGTATAATTTACATGCAAAACATTTTGGCTCAGCATCCATCAAATATAATTTACTTACACCAATAAAAATAATTGCTGAAAAGATAGATTTATTATTCAATCAATCTAATATATTATGAACACAAACCAATATACAGTGACAATCAATTTATCATACTATATAAAGTATTTCATGTGGAAACCAATTTATAATAAACCAAAGACTTAGTACAAAACACATTTTCAAAGGCTTGATACAATATTTACATAAATTCTATGCAAAAAATTAAGATGACTTTATAGATATCCCAAAGTGGGTCACAATCTTTTTTTCATTTCCAATGCCATCATCTTGCTCCAAAGCAGTCAAAAATTTATAAAAACTAGGTTTCTTTCTTTCTTTCTCTTTTCTTTTACAAATATGAACAAGAGAATCATTAACAGAATAGAAATGAATTTGACTTCAAAAGCTTAACAATTACACAAATCTGATATGAAGTGGTTTTAACATGTTAGAGCAATTGTAGATTCACATTTCTGATGACTTTGATTTCATTTAAAGAAATAATTTAGCAGAATAGCTTTTGCAACCATGACACATTTCCCTGATTCACATTTTAGATCTGTTGTCGCCAAAAGAGCAGTTGCCAAAGTAATAAAGCCTTTGCAACTTGAAATAAGTAGGTGTTTCCAAAACTTCCTATATTCTCTTGATGACTCTGGGATATGTGGGGCAAAATTGATCTTTATAATACAAAATTAGGCACGGAGACACAGTCCCAGTGTCTTCCCTTCCAAGAGCCCAGCTTCTGTCCTTTATGCCCAAGTAATTATGTGCAGAGCTATCTAGGGATTATCAAATGGGAAAGAGAAAAATCACATAGCAAAATAGGAAGGGGCAGCTTTCCAAATTTATTTCAGTGAGACCCCACTAGCCCATTGTCCTTAGGGATATCTATTTAACTGCTAATGACATAGATCAGAATAATAACATTATTAATCACAGTGGTCAGTCATCTACTTTTAACATCTCTTGGAATCTCTCCTAAAATGAGTGGCATAAGTATTTATTTTCAAAGCATAAGTTGCACTTACTCTGTAAGCATAGATTATGTGGTACTCACTTTAATTTTATTATACCTGTGTTATACTGAGTATATAAAATTTTTAAATTCAAGTCAGTTGGATTTTCTAGATATTCTGTATTTTACCTAGTGGCATGGGGCTTTCTTTGAGAGTCGTAATTTATAAAAGTGTTTCTCAGTTTAAAATGATTTTATACAATTTTTTTGTGAGCTCCTGATTGTTCTGATCGTAGAACTCACTGCCTCTCGTATTCTTAATTTTTCTTACCGCATAACTTTGATTTCTTAAATTTAGAAAGAGTATTCAATACATACCTTAATTTTAGGATGTATCAACCATACTTAGTGTAAGTATATAAATGATTGAGCTTGTTTGTAAGTAGAAGCCCTGTCATGTTTTTCTATTAAGTCTGAATACAGTAATGTTAAAAATAGATGATTTCTTTGAACCTTGTCTGCCAGGAAACTTTCTAATAATTTCTTATGGTATATTGGTACTTAATCATAAGAGTCAATATTTTTGTCATAATTTGAAGTAACAAATTAATTTAGCAAGTAGGGTAATTAGTATGATAGTATATTACATTTAAAATGTTAATTTGGTTACTCAGAACCTATACAATTTTGTTTCATTCTATGTTGACCTAATTATGTAAAAATAGAGTCAGAAAATTGTGACATAGTTTCTTATTCAATATTTCCTCAACTTTCTTATCTTTGCATGTAATTTCTTATTTTTAGATCACTTTCTTATTTGATAGAAAAATACATATAGATGGTCAGGTAAACAGAGGCTATGACAGGAAAAGACACTTTTGGAGACATCCTAATGCTGTATGTCTATTTGAAAATTCACTCATATACTGACTTCTAGGAGTATTTACTAAAAAATCAACATGCTTGAAAAATACACGTTAAAGGTACCTGAAATAGAGAAGATAGGTCTTATCTTTGGTCTTGGTTTCCATAAATTCAGATACCTATGAGTAAATTTCATCTGAAATTATTAAAACCCAGAAAAAAAATTTCAAGTAGCCAAGTGTTACAGTAGATGCTTACAGTTCCATCCATGCAGGACATTGTGATAGGAGAATCCACTTGATTCCAGGTGTTTGAACTCAGTGTGAGTAAAATGAGTTTCTGTTTCAAAAATTATCTTTCATAAATAGTGTGATGAAGATTTTGTCTCTCCCATTCCACATGCTTGAAATATGAGTCATCTTTTGTCCAATATACCCAAGCTGTATATGCTATCATTTTATTTGTCATCAGTAATCATCTCAGTTTACAAATTAACTATGAGATTTCAAGCTATATCACAATGCCTATATCATTCATCTCATTTCATGTCATTGTCATCATGAAAAATAATAGTAAGCGAATTATAAGAAAATATTTTGAAACGGTGTTTTCACCAGATTTTCGGTAGCCATATTCACATAATTTTCATTGATTTATTATTAAAATTATTCTACTGTTACTTAGGTGTTAACCTCTTACTGTGCTGACTTTACAAACCAACTTTATCACAGGCACGTATGTGAAAGGATAAAGAGTCACAGAAAGATTGATCCGGTTTTCACCGAGTGTCCGGAAAATCAGCTGCACAGGTAAGGAGGGTCCAGGCTACAAGCATCTGAAAACATCAGTGTCCACAGGGTTTATGTCTAGCACACACCCTGACTCTGTGAGAATGATTCAAAAATACTCTAGATAAAAATAATATTCTTCACATAACCAAATGGGGGAAAAAAGTGTTTGCTCCTGAATGCTCAATTAAGATTATGAATGAAGAAGATACACCAGTTTTAAAAAGTGAAGGGCCATATTGTCATACTAAGAAGTAATAATTAAATTTTGAATGAGTGAGTTGTCTACCATAATACATGTTCAGAAAACTGGATAAATAAATTTTTGGATATATTGTTTGTTATTTTTAATTTATTGACTCAATAAATATGTATAGCATACTAACTGTTTGCAAGGCACTAGGCCATATACTAGTTATTAGATATGATAAAAATGGATGTAGTTCTTATCCAAATAGATGTATATTTCCTAAAGAACACTAAGCAATAATAGCAATAAAGAATAAATCAGGCTCTATGGTCAAATTAGTTGAACACCAAGATTCTTTCCAAGAATTACATTCTCCACAGCTATGATTGGCTAATAACAACTTAGCATAGTGTATAACTAAGTAGATCTGAGTTCAAATGCCTAGTCCCAAATTCTTAATTCCATCAAAAACTTAGTAATAGCAGCAGTTAATTCTTTTTTGTTTTATTTTCCTCATTATTTAAAATTAGAATAATTTTACTAACATAGGGTTTTCTTAAAGAATGAGTGACTTATGACAGTAACATACAAAGAACAAACTGTTGTTAGTCAGAAATTGAAAGAACTTACTTGTTAAATCAATAATCAGATTGTTTTAAAAGCTAAATTTCAGTGCATATTTGCAAATATGTGTTTTGACTGTAGTGAACGCCCCTTCTTACATCCTAAACTAAAAGAAATTCATTGACTGATAATTTGTACAAGCAATATAATGTGTGATTGGTGGACGTAATGGAGAGGCAGTAGGGGGTAAAAGATTCTATGGAATATTTTTTCTCAATGTATGTTAGTTGAGATTAATATTTACATATGCTTTTCCTTCCAGACTCTTAATAATAGATCAACAAAATCCAAATCCACATAGAAAAATATTTATTGAATAACTATTAAAATTTAGTAATTAAAGATAGATAGGATAAACATGTAAGACTATTTGCCTATGTAATTTCAAGGATTACATTTATGATATCACTAAAAGTGAAACGTGTATAAAATCAGCTCATTGTGACTGGGCTATACACACTGACAGCAGAAATGACAGAAACGAAAGAAAGCAGCCTGAATACATCAAATGAGTGTACTTTCCCTTCCTTCTCCAAATTCATCCATTTAGCTTTAAAATTCATCTTTCATTTTCTATCTTGCATAAATTACTTTTCAGATCTTGCTTTGTGTGTCATAGAAGCTGAACCATAAATAGATGCAAATCATCAGATTATGTTGAACTTTCTTCCTTAGTTAGATGATCTTGTTTTCTGAGACTTTGTATTAGAAATCCGTGTTCTATATGGATATCAACATACCCAGGTGGAACCCACTTGGAAACTGCAAACCACAAGCAAAGTAGTTTACACTGAGAAAAAGAATTCTCTCTGAGGAATTTAGTATTTGAAGATGATTTATTACAGCTTATCTGTGCTTGTAACAGTCTTAAGAATGCTTATTTTATGAGCACGCCTACATATGCAAACTTGGATTTATTTTAATTCCTGAGAATTAAATACTTTATGCTAACTGAACAGAAAGCCATAAGCTTATTACTCACTTTATATCCCCCAAAACTGTCCATGTAAACAAATTGAAATTATTAATATAAAACTTGGCACCAAAATAATAATTAATATACCTAAACCTATCTAATCAGTACTAAAGAATCACTGTAATACAGTAGTTTCAGTGACATAAAATATTTCAAGATTAGTTTCATATCCACTAACTTCTAACTGATGTTTACTACTAAATACAGGAAATGAGTGAAATAGAGAACGAGGCTAAAGTTACCCAGCATTAGAATTATACCAAGCACCAGAAGCTTTAAATGCAGTATATCATTACTTTGTCTTAAGTATTTTTTCTGTTAAAAATAACACAAACATTTACTGAGAATTTCTTATATGCCAAGCATTTTGCCAAATATTAATGTACTTGGAGCATATTAATTTACCTAATCTTCATATCTCTAAAAAATTAAGTGTAAATAATAAGAGAGAAAGATTAATTGGCTAAATGAACTCTGCTAGCAGCTGTGAAGTTAGGAATTAAACTTAAAGTTTCTGATAAAAGTCTGCTCATACTGAATCATACTTGTAGCTATAAAAGCTTTGTGCCTTGTTGGCTTTTACCAGCCCAAAACACATACCATGAAGCAAATGCGGTTTTCCTCCAGAAATTAGAGCACACCAAGATCATTCCAGATGTTTTGTTATTTTACTTCAAATAAAGATGCCTCAAGACATCAAGGCAACTGAATGGTTGCAGGATCTGAAGGCAAAGAAGACTAAAGATTCCTTAGGTAATCATCATCTTTCCTGGAAGATTATGCTTGATTTTTGCTCTGTGATGTGCAACAATAAATGAGTTATCACCCAAGAAAATATGTCTGATATGCAAAATCACATTGTTTTTAAGAATTTGTATGTGATAGTAACAAAAATAATATGAGGTTATTGACAATTGAGTAAATTGGCTGCCCTAAGGTGAAAGGAGTTGAGTTTACATTTGTTGTGTGGTGTTGATGTGGCAGTGTTTTATGTATTTTATTTTATTTTATTTTATTTTCTAAGAATCCAGGTGTCCTTAAAAATAACAAAAGGAGCTGTCCAACATTTGATAGCGTAAAATGGTATTAATAATTTGTATACAGATATTCACAAAAAATGTTGGAAGAAAAAAAAAAACCTTTAGTAAGAGAGCTATAAGAAAGTATGTAGCTGGTGATGGTTGATATTTGACACAAAAATGATGAAAAAGAAGATATTTAAAGAATCTACATGCTTTTCAGATAATAGTTACTTTCTAACAGCATTTTTTAAAGTGATATTTCCAAACATTCTTTATTCCTTTTAAAACATATTATGCAGTCTGTTAAGGAAATTAACTCATAGTAGGAGCTTGTAGAGAATGAGTTTTTGTTGACTATTTTAATGTGCTGTGATACACATTATATAGTGATAATGTATAAGGTTATTCAACCCAAAATAAGAAGATAAAACATCTTGACAGCTTATTAAAGATTTTTAGAATCCTATGAAAATTCTTTCTACATTGCACAACTTATATAATTTTATATATTGGATGTTTCTGTTTATTTTGCTTAATTTTGTATAAATATATAGCAAAGATTTCATATACCCATGTCTTATTCATTTATCTATTTTAGTAAAATTCAGTTGCTTTTCTTATTTTCTTTCTTCCCTATTGAAATAACATCTGTGTTTCTATAGACAAGTTTCCAGGGCTACCAACTAAGTAGAAGAGGAAGACATACTAGCTTCTTATTAATGAATGCACCAGAATCTCTCCCTATGTGAAACAATTGCTTTGTCAGGAAAGTGATACGAGAAAAAGTCAAATAATGATCTTACTAGCCTACAGCACTCTGAGACTTGGAATGACTTGGTATTAACAATGAAATTCAGGATGTTTTAAAATGCATGTAAAGTTTCCAGGAATTTGTGAACTCATGTTGTATGTATACATTTCAAAATCATAAATGATTATTTGTGTGCTGAAAACAAGTATTTCTTCACAGAAAATATTTTGAAATTGAATCAAAGTTTCTTACATCAACTCTTCCTAAGGAATACAACTGCATTCTTCTTACCTTATGAAATCCAACTTAATTCTTCTTCACCACTTCTTCCCATCCTCTCCATTTTCTTTTAGCCTTCATTTCATAACGGTTTTGAATAACCACGTTCTTCCCAGAGATATGATGTGATAGGAGAAAGTCAAGTAAACAGAGCAACAATAGAACTTGATATTTACTAAGTAAAAAGTAAGCACAGTGTATTGTGAACATATATGTCATATAACTGTGCCTAAGCTCAAGAAATCAAGAAGCACAGAAAGAAAACATGTAAATTTTAAAATGAATTTGAAAAATGAGCATAGTCACTAATGCCACCAAAATTAAAGATTAAGGAGGCTTGAGTCTAGATGTTTAATTAAAAATTCATTCCTTGATTTCTTAGCTCTATAATAGTGAACCTTCTGTACCTGCATTTTAGTCTCATGGGATTAAAGTTACCTTTCAAGGCCTTGCTGGTAACAGCTGACCAATTCAATTTATGGGTAAATTAGAGTAAAAATGGAGGTCAGATTTATAACATGCAATAATGACAACATAGTGTTATTTTTTCAGTGACAAGTGAGTTAATGACAAATGAGACCTTAAACCTTTGTTTTCTGTTTGCACATCTTGGAAAGAAAATTAAATTGCTTGAGAAGTTGAATGAACATGTTTTCCCATCAGTAGGCTGTCTTCAGTTAATATTGTGCTATGATGCAAAAGGAATATCGATTGGTGAACCTTTATACTGCATTAAATACCATTTTTATGAACAGAAATAGAGAAGAGGATGTCTGAGAGAAAGAAGCAGAACAGGAGAATGTGGAGTAAGGTGTAATTTATTTTATAAAAATGGCTTTTGTCTATTATGTTTAAGTTCCATCCTCCTTTAAAATAGGTATTCTTATCAAGCATTTATCTGTCATCACTTTCTGACATAATACACATCTTGAGATTTCCAATTTTACCACACAATAAACTTCTTTTATGTTCTCAAAATAACACACGTTAGAATTCACTAAAAATAATCCACAGTAGTACCATAGATATTTCAAGCTCAAAAACTATTGTTTTGTACTGTTTTGGGCTATAAAGAATGGATTTTAGAGGAATTTGAAGGTTCCTACCAAAATATTCTCCAAGGGTTTTAGGGCTTTTCTTTCTACTTAATGCACAAAGAGAATTTTCTTGAATAACTACACTGAAACAAAAACATCAAAATTTTTCTCTATATTTCAAGCAATTTTTCCTTTTAATAACTGGATATTACATGGTAATACTATTGTAAAATGTTTTTAAGTTTCATCATCGTGTGCTTATTTGTTCAGTCACACATTTATTTAAAGTTCAGTGGTGATTTTCTATATAATTCTATACAGAGCCAAGAAACAGACTGAATTTCAGAGCATCACAAAAAGTAACCCTCTGCTCTAACCTGTAAAACCTAATAATTTTTTCCATTTTTGAAATGTCTGTCTTTTATTTAATAACTTCTAAATTTCTATTTCTTCTAAACTACCTTATTATTAAGGCAAACAGATCTGTTCTGTCTAAATAAATTCTCAAAAGGCTATGGATTCTTCCTTGTAATCTTCAGCTCAAATCAATCAAAATCACATTCTTCTCCTTTGCATACTTGATTATTTTATTATCCATGATGGCAAAAAATAGTAATCATTTTGTTTGCAGGTGGTCTATCCAGATAAATGGCAGCTTTAATCTGACATATTTTGATGAACAATTTAGGAAGATTAAATATGCAGACCTTGTACCCATTATTCTACTGCACAAAATATATATCTGTTTAAGTGGCAAGTGATATTTTAGCTTTCAAAACATAAAATTACACCTCATTATCCACTTAGTGTTTTTTAATGTCTCAGAATTATCTAACGTCAATGCCTGAGTAGATCTACTTAAGAGTCATTTGAATTAGTTTTTTATTGTTTTTGTCAGGAAATCAGAGTTTGTATCCTAAATCCAACATCACTAGCTTTGCTACATTAAATAATCAGCTACAAAATGTGAACCATGCTAGTTAATCTGGAAGACAAATAAAAAAATAATAGACATTTAATAGGTCAGAACATGAAATAAACACCCAATTGTTAGTGTTGCTTTTATTGTTAGAAATAACAGAACCTGTGAACACATAGAATGTTTACATATGTATTAATATTTCTAACATATATATACATATATAAATATACATATATATGTACATTTTAAATCTCCTAAAACACTAAAATTAATCTTAAGTTATTACAAATCATCTGATTAAAAATCTCTACATTTCATATTTTCCCAATAGCTTTAGTGGATTATAGCATAAATAAATACATAAATCTCACCTATTTTGCTCTAAAACTATAATTATAGTCCATAAGAGCAGCTTTAGGTGACTTTCTCTAAAGATAAAGGATTTTGTTCCTATCCAAGTAAGACATGTTAATAAAAATATTATGGGATCTGTACGACTATCTTTATGTACTATGATTGTAATACTGTATTCGATATAATGAAGTCACACTTTTCAGGCAAGTCTTTCAGATCAGTGGTAGCAAACCTATGACATGCATATTGTTGCATTTTATTTTAAGGCAAAAGATTTTAAAGTATGAGTTTTTTTTTAAGCTAAAATCTCAGTGTCATGTTGGTACTTTGCAATAAATGAGTTGTGTATTACAGTTTGTTGAACTTGGTCTTTAAAAGGTTTTCGATTAGTGTCTTAACTTATTGACTGACCACTTAAAAAGTTCAAAGAAAAGCAAGGTAAAAATAAAATTATTTTCAAACACTCAAGATTTTCATAATACAATCCCACAAAAACTGGTGTAGAATTCATGTACTCTGGCATATCAATAAAATTCTGGAAATAAGTTCTAGTTAATTAAACATTGAATGGCAGTATTTGAAAATATATCTATGCTTCAAATGAAATATTGCTATTGCTTGAAATGTCTCAATTTATATAAATAAACTTCATAAAATTTATCTGTAAGTAACAATTGAAGTATTTTTTAATAGTATTTATTTGGAAACAAAACAATCGCTGCATTTTACATTAAAATAGACTAATATATAATATTTATTTCTAAATGGCCAGAATTTTATTGTGTATATATGTCCGTATTTTTACATCTCTTACACATGTAAAGATTTTTTATTTCAAATAATCCTGAAGCTTCATGATTTTTCAAAGTGCTAAAAACTGCAGCAATTTTATTTCTGGAAAAATATTGTGGCTCAGTAGCATGGTAGAGTGTTATTTACATTCTCACAGCTCTTGGACACTTTGTGAGTTAGCTATTGTTGTAGAATAAAAAGAACTTGCACAACTTAGTTACTTATGAAAACAACTTTTTCTTTAGTTGGCAATTCTGAGAGCTATCAGACGAAAGTCCTAACTTTCCCTTTGAAGATTCAACTTTAGAGGACTGAAATGAATTGACAACAGACTGATGGTTAACAGGAGTGAAAGAAAACAAATTTTATTAACATGTATAAGCACAGGAAAAATTATTGCTGCTAATGAAAGGTTTTGTTGGGTTTCTTTCTAGGTTCCTGGTGTCCAGAACTGGATGGCATACACAGAAAAGGCAGTGAGGATGTATTTCTGTTGAAGGTGGACAATACGTACACTACATGTACACGGGCAAGAGTATGGTACAATGGCCTCACATATAAAGAAAAAGCGTTTTTTTAAAAACCCCAAATAGCTAAGGTATCTTCTTCTCCCATGCAAATAAAGCACTGGGACATTTGTCCTATTGGAAATCACTTGGTGCCATGACAGATATATATGCTTTCGTATAGAAAGACTTGTTTGACTTCCAGCTAGTTGTAAATAAAGGAGCAGAAATAGTGCCTTTCATTGGTTATTCCCACATGCAAATAAAAGATGGAAAATGGCACCTTCTTACTGGTTCTGAAAACAGCACCAGATTCATAGGAAGGGTTAAACAGTACATTTCTGTTTGGTCCACAGTGTTCAGCAAACCTGAAGTCCTTCTGGATCTTGTGTCCTGAACATGTGCTCTTTTTTAAAAAAAATAACTTACCCAGACTGTTAGCAGTAGGTTTTTATCACTTTGACACATTCCACCCAATCACATATTTGGTTTGCCCCAATCTTTGTGTGGCTACCTTAATATTAATAAAGCTCAAAGAAGGAGCAGGTGGTTGGAGCTTAAATAAAATCTCAGTAGGAGAGAAAGCTGATGGAAGGGCCCTGTAGGCAATTGTAGAAAAATAGTAGGTGATTTTTTGAGAAAGAAGGAATCTGAGAGATCAGAAAATGTACTGAGAGATTGTCTGGAGTTCAGATGTGGTGTATCATGGTTTCATTTGTCGTGTCTCTTGGTTTGTAAAAGAGTTTCATCTTTTGTAGTAAATGAAATTTCATTAAGAATACTGAAAATAGTTTTGTTTATTGGTTCAGTTGATCTTTAGAAAGAAAAGAAATTTCAGAGTAAACCTGTTCCTGTGCTTCCAAAGAAAAAGAAGAGAAGGGTCAGAAGAAAAATCAAGGAAAACTTAAAGCTGCTTCTTTGGTTTAACTTGTTAAAGCATGGATTTATCAGTACTATTTTCTGAGTCCCAAAATTAATATGTTGGTTTCTACTCAGTTAGGTAGCTCTGCTGATTTGGACCAGGCTTAGCTTTTTTTTTTTTTTTTTTTTTTTTTTTTTTTTTTTTTTTTTGATACTGGGAATTGAACTTACAACTTTATACTTGTCAAGTAGGCAGTTGTGCCACTGAGCTAAATCCTGACCCTCTCTGCTGAACTTGTCTTAATTTTATAGGTGGTTTCTAGATAACTGGGTCCAAGAGACAGAGGAATGTTGTACAGGGATGGCTAGAAGAATCTGTAACACACCTGATATTTTCCAGTAGTGTACCTGGACTTTGTTTTTTCCAATTAAGTAAAACCCAAGGAGAAATCTGCTTAAATCACTTTTGCCACTAAGCCATCGATTACAGAAATTTACTTATCAGAGTGGGAACATTTTTCCTACAAAGTTAGTTAAAAGGAATTGTGGATAAATTGAGGCTAACTGTTGTCACAATCCTCCTTGGACATTAGAGCACGTTTATTAATCTTTATGAATGCTAAACCCCAAACAACAAACCAATAACAACATTCAAACTGTTGGGATAGCATTTCATAGAGGATTTTGCATAATACATTGCTCTTAGTGAGCAGCCGATAAACTTAAATCATGTGAAATAACTTTTTATGGAAGTAGATAAATTAACTAAACACATCACAAAACTTCTCGCTCAACTACAAGGAAAACACTACGCATGGAGCCAATTCTTTATTAAAGTGGTGATGATGATTTAAAAAAAGTTGATAGAAGAACTAAAGTAGAATCATAAAAGTAAGATAAAAATATGAATTAATAGAGATAAGTTGTTGGAAAAATTACTAATAATCTTATTTTTAAAAAAGCCAACATTGATTTAAAAATATACTAGTAAATTTGGAGCTTGGAGGAGAAGGCCCCATTGGTGAAAACAAATCTGGGCAATTGTCATTAGCTAATAAGTGCCACGAGGACAGCTCAGTGTGTGTTTTATTACTATATCCCGCTGAACCTTTTATGTTTAGAACTTCTGGGACAAATAATGCACAAAGCATTTTAATTTTCATTGATGTAACTAATTATTTATTTTATGTTATATTTTATTAAAATATTAATCTCAGTTCCTGACTCCAAATTTCGTGAGAAGTTCAATATTGAACTCCATGTAACTGTTTTTCCATGTGCATAAAATCATGTATCTCAGGTGACTGACAGACCTTACTCTGGGTTCTTGGCCATCTCGGCCACCATGGTTGCTAGACCTCCAGTACTAAACCACAGCCTGTAAGCACTGACCCAACATTAGGAACTGTTTCGTGAAGCAGGCAAATATGACGATTCCCAGGAATCTTACTTTTGGACTGATATCTGTGACCATCGATCTTTAATCCATCTACAAAGCAGGAAACTTTGTGAGAAAGGCTGCTATTTTTTGTGAGAGTAATATTTATAAGTGGAAAAGCAGTTTGCACAGTCCTCACTTATTACAATAGCCTAGAAAGGCTTGAGAAAGTTCATTCTTCCTGCCTCTTTTTGGGATCACTCTCCTTTTCAAAGTGTTAAGCTGTGACTGTTTTTAAAGGAACTTTTAAAAACAAAGAGGCTCCTGGCTTTCCTTCACACTACCAGACAAGACCCTCCCAGCAGCATTAAGAACACTTACTCTGAGAAAACGAAAATGGGATGATTCTGAATCTATCATATTAGAATAAGTAGAAAAATAAAGTCGCAGTGAAATATTCTACAACACAGATGGACTCATGCCCACTTACAGAGGAAGGACTGAAGCAAAATTTTTGAGGTGGACAACTTATTAATTGCTATAAAATTGGAGAAAAACTAGGATTAGAGAGTAAATCTAAATATCTTCTACTAGTCTGTTATAGGTGCTGCTTCTGAAATACTGATGATTAAAATTTCAGGTGAAAAATATAATGTAATTATAAAAAATTGTAGACATCAAAGGAAATATACTCTTATCTCTGAGTGTTTAAATAATTCAGAATACAAAATTTTAGAAAGCAATTTATTTTCAAATATGGAATCCTCATTGTTTTAATAAGTCTTATCCAACAACCACATTTTAAGAATGAAAGGTTTGTTTTGGGTCACAGTGTAAAAGTTTCAGCCCATACTTAGCTGGCTCCAAGACAGGGTGGCACAGCAGGGGTCATGGGAGAGAATTTCTCATGATCTGGCAACAGGAAGCAGAGAGAGTTCAAGAGAGAAGGGAAGGAAATAGATCCTTCCATGTCATCCGCCTCTGACCCATCTCCTCCCACCTGGCCTCACTGATCAAACAACGAACCTCACAACCCATGATCAAACCATCTTTAAAATCCTCTATCTACGAGCACATGAAGTTTCAGAGAAATAGCGAATATAAACTGTAACACATATTCACCTGCAAGTTTTGAGCAAAGTTAGACTGAGGAAAGACCAATATATTAGCATTATTTAGCTTTTGCCTTCATTTTCCATCTTCTGAGCCCTTAGTTTCTGTTAGCAGGAGGCAAGTAACAATAAATAAAACAAAGTCTCTTTTCTCTTGGAAAACTAAAATCTTTTTATTAGAAATACGTATTTTATAGCTTCATTCCACATAACAGTAAACACATACATAGAGCAAACTTTATGAACTGGTTCCTGAGACAGATTTAAAGAGAGTGAGAAAATCAGGTCAAAAGAAATCTTGAGAGTTCAAAATTAAGGGTTTGAATTTTAAAAAATTTTAATGACCATTCATTTAATCAACAAATGTGTTTAAGAATTAGTCTTCGTTAGTAGATAACGAACGGATATGTAAACATAGGGATAAAAACAGGGAGATTGATCAGGAGGTCATGTTAATTTGGACTATAGAAATGGTGGATGAAATGGAGGGAAACAACAGAAAATGTACTTTAAAGTTTTATCTAATAATATTCACCGACAGAGTCAATACATATGATGAGAATGTTGAAATTAAAGATTACTTATGGTTCTGGATATGGACACTGAGATGAAAAGATATTTATTTAATAATTGGGAACACAGAATGCCAGAAGTTAGCGGGTATAAACAATGAAAGATTGTCAAGAGATCAGTGCTGTTACCTGTCTGTCTTGCTTGCTAAGAAGCCAAGTACATTTTTAAAAATAGGTACACATTACAGTTGCAGAATCAGGGGCTGACTTGGGTTGCAGTCTAACATTTTCAGTTTTATTTCTGTGTATGATTGTCATCTAAAGTACGAGTATCTAGAAAGAAAGAACAAAGTGCCATATATGCGTAAAGCATTTTTAACACAGTCCTAATGGTGAGCGTGGTTTTGCTGCTGCTTATAATGATAATGATGGCAGAGGATGGTGATACTGATGATGGGGATGATGATGATGATGACACATCTGTCAAAGCTCTTGGTTAAAGTGGTATAAAGGCTCTAAGTTCACACAGGACATCTGCAACTACAGATGGCAAGACAGGACATACTAGGTTCTGTGGTCCGTGAAGAAATTAGAGAAGGGCTGGGCACTGTTGGATTCACTCAGAAATTTTCACCAGAAGGGAGCTACAACCCTGCTCCTTCTGCTATTTATGTGAAACTTTAATAAGTGTTAGTGACATTTTTATGAGGTTATTCAAATGAAGACTTTGTTTCAATGAAAGAAATCTTTTTATTAGAGATAGATATTTTATGGCTTTATTCCACATACCTAGAGAAGTTGTAACTCAGGGTCACATGAGAAATAGAACTCACAGTGATACTTGCTGTTGAGAAGCGAAGCCACTGGGCCATACAGTTGAAAGCCGTCTTGTAATCCTTGTTATTTTCTTTCCTTTACTCAAGGGAAACTTTATGATCATCACCATGTTACCCATTTGGGAACTTGAGATTTGAAGAAGGGAAAAATCTCGCAGCAGTATCCAGATTGATCTAGGATTTGACCTGATTGACTCCCATCACACTGACTCAACTTTACAGTAAGTACCATGGGGAAAGGCTTTTTTATTGAGGAGAGAGAGGGTGGGGAGGCCATGTGTTTAAAAATGAAAGGACAGAAGTCAGTGGAAGACACCCTGTACAACGGCCTTGGCTGTCACTAAACACGCCTGCCAAACTTTCTCTCTGTCTCCGTTGTTTAGTTTATTCTTCAGTAAGTTCTGTGCCCCGGGCCTGCTGGGTAAAAACCCGCGTTTCTTGCTTTTATCACTAGATCCTAATGCCGTTCCCTTGCATTTTACAGCTCCGAGGGATTTTC